GAGCACTTTCTGAACCTTCTTCTTATCTAACGGGGAGAGAAAAAGCTTTCCATCCAGTTGGACCATTAGAGCATGGTGGCTGTCCAAAGCATGAATCAGGTTATTGAACGGCCAGGGTTGCAGGTTCGTGAGACGAGGGTGCAGCTTACCCGATCTCCATGGCTTCAACATGACGCTGATCATTGGGCTGCCAGGATTCAGCATTGCCAATATCGCCATGATAAGTTCTTCCATGGATGGTCCGATAGTGGTAGATGCTTGAGCTTAGGGAAGCGGTCGTCGAGGCGAAGGATGAAATTGTCGAGGCACCATCATCTTCGGGATCTTCGGCGAACTGCGGCCCGAACGGTTAGTCTTTATGACAAGATTTCATCAGATCGCAGACTTACTGCCTGCTGCTGCCAGTGTGACGCAGGAAGAAGACCAGCCGCTTCTTGTTCCTCGATGCTGAGCGGTGCTGGCCCCGGACCCGAAGCATCGGGCGGTGGTGAGCTAGAGGCTTCCTTGCTCTTAGGGCTCTTGGGGCTCTTGGGACTGGTGGTTCCCATGTTGGTGCCGTTGTGTGGAGAAGTAGTGTAGGTAGACAGGCAGGTGTGGAGGTAAAAGGGTTGAGGTGCTAGAAGCAAGAGACAAGACGGAACTTGTAAGAGGAGACTCGGGGCAAGAAGTACAATAGTTCGTGGGAGAGCTGAAGCCATTTAACATCACTAGGGATGCTGTCACATTGCAAGGATGTGGCATACAGTCTCAGGTGTTGATCCACCGTGGGTGATGCACAAGAGACACACATTTTCTGGGACGCCTTCCTTTTGCGGGCGCCAATACCCAATGGTCAAAATCTTCCTGTCGTCGCCATCACAGGATGAGGTCGTGCGCAGTGGTCGGTCGAAGGCGGCACTGTGCAAGTAAGCGCATGCAATCCAGAACGCAGCGCCCTGTCTGCAGGAACTAGGGCATCTTTTCCCTGCAGCAGTACCTATCCAAATCCAGTCATGCCGCGGGGTCTGTGGGTCTGAAGATGCAAAATGCATCCCGAAAAAATTGTCTGGCCAGTCTCGACCGGTGCCAGCCCTCCCAAACTCCAAACTGGCATTGTTCACAGTCTGCTGGATGTTTCTTTCTCTGTATTCATCGCGTCACGTTAGCAACCGACATCCTGGACATCTTCCTCCTGCAACAAAAGTCTTGGCGCCAAGTGTTAGTCTCAACGCTTGGTTGCCTGAAAAATCCCTAACACCACCCAAAATCGCCGTTTTTACGGCTGATATCCCAACATCCACAACTCCAAAATGTCTACGCCTTCGCCCTCTGGGGCCCCCAAACCACCGCCGTAGGTTGCAGGTGATACTGTGCCTGAAAAAGCTTGTTCGGCACGGCCCGCATGCAACCAGGACGGCTGGCTCCGCGTGCTCCCCGCTGCCCTTGGTTCCACTTAAGCGGGGCTGAAGCAGTCATCGCCAGAACACAAACACCACCATCCTCCTACATCACCAACGTGCCTTCTTTACTCTAGATTCACCTATCTGGCACGTCTCATGCCCTACGGGA